TCAACATATGTATTCTTAAGAATTTCATCACACACTTCAGGATACAGTTCTTTATTTCTCTGTACATGCTCTTGGGTAGTACATATTGCCAAAAATGGGCTGGCAATAACCCCAAAAGTCACTCTAGTCATTCTGTAAACTTTGGGAGATGCTTCAAGATCAAGGTCTCGCCACAAATACCGATGAGAATCTCGATCTTGTTCTCTTAAACTGATCTGCAAAAACATTTTCTCAATATCACTTGTAACAGCGATCTTCTTCTTTCGGAAACGCAAAAGAATACCACATAGATCTGGTTGTAAAGCTGGACCAGCTTCAATACAACTGTTCAGTGATGTTTCTTCACTATCTTTGGCAGACCCATCAAATACAACTCTAGTTTTAGTTTTCCGTCTGTCCTACCGAATAACAGCATGATGTGGGAGATAAAATACTGGTCGATTATCAACTGGCTTGATTTCATTGGCTGGTACTTCTTCTGCAATACCATCCTCCACATATTTGTTAATGGTGTCTTGGTAAATCTTCGCTTTCAATGGGTCTTCAAGAGCTCTTTTGCAGGTGTAGCCACATTGTGCGACGGCAATACTGTTATCAACCATTGCGTAACCATCGCAAGTATCGATGGTCACGCGAGGCTTATACACGTGGATGTTGAACCCCAGACACTGGCTCAGATTTGGCTTCAGGGAACATGGGCGACTTTGTCTGAAGGTAGCGTTCTAGTTATATTCATTTCACTGGGTTATACGCACGGAATTACGTCATAAGTTTTTAAAATGTCGAAAATATTTGAAAATTCCACTGAATTTATACAAATTGAATGAATTCATGCAATTAAGTCTATAAACATCAATAAATACCTTCGATAAATCAATAAATACCTTCAATAAACCACTCATAAAAGCTAGCAACTCAGCAAATCTCAATTCAGTCATTCAGAATGCGACTTCAAAATCCAATCCGGTCTTCGAAAACAAATACTATTTCGGTCATTCGACCTATTGATGTCACATTTTCCAGCTAGTTTCTTCACTTCGTGCAACATAGGTAACGTTTAAGTGCTTTTTATTTTCCATAGTCGTTGAGAACAAAATAATTGTCTTTTTAGATTTTTCTTATTTATTACCGCCTAGCGCACTCTAAGCTTAGCCAATCAGAATTCAGCACGTGACTTAAGCGAGACAATAGCATTTCGTTATTTGTATAGATCATGTACGCGTGATATTTGCAAAATTTCGACTTCCAAATGTTTGGGGGAATAAAAATAAACTGTTTACCTGTTTAGTTCGGCAATTTTTTCAATTTTATTATATAAAAAAGATAGATTACATTTTGCCTAGGCGGCTTTGTTCTTACCACATATGACGTCATACTGTGTATCTATAACCATAGTTAATAGAATAAATGGTTTGGAAACTCATTAGAATAACAACATAACTCATTATCTATGTTAGTCAACGTTTATTCATAAATATAGTCGTTCACCGTCACGTGTGTATTGTGTTCTTGCCAAATCCACCAATAGCAATTTTCCGATTTACCCTATTGTTCGAGTGACGGATAGGTAACTTTCCTAAAACATTCCTATTGGTTAGTTGGGCAAAAATACAATACGCACGTGACGGTGAATGACCACATTTATGAATAAACGTTGACTAACATAGATAATGAGCTATATTGTTATTCTATTGAGTTTCCAAACCATTTATTCTATTAACTATGCTATAACTGAACAGACAACGGGAAAATGTAATCTATTTGTTAAAGTGATGACGGTGTACGACTGTGATTGCTATATATTGTATCTGTTAAAAATGCCGGTCGAGGCCGTGTTTCTGAAAAAAATCAAACTAATTTCCCCTGAGCCAACGGCGCGGAGCGCCGTTCCGGCGACGGTACTAATTCCCCCCGGGGTACTAATTCCCCAGTGAGCGCGGGCGTCGGTCACCAACGATGTTGAGTGGGTGGTCATTCTCACTGATCTCAAAAATATGGCTGATTGCTTGTAGGAGTGGGATGAGCAAGATTTCAATTTTAAAAGACATATATTTGGAAAATCATTTTTTTCTGTGCTGGTGTTGTGTACTCAGGTGTGAATATGATGTTTGTGATGTTACTCTGTGAGTTTGTGAGTGTATATCCACACGGGGCGGGCTTGAAAAATATGCCCGGCCACGGTGGGAATCGAACCTACGACCTGTGGAATACTATCCCAATGCTCTGCCAACTGAGCTACGCGCTCAGGATGGTTCGAGTAAGTGATATTTCGGAACAGAACCTAGTTCCTTCGATACCAATGTAATCTAGTAATATGATTTTTTTCTGTGCTGGTGTTGTGTACTCAGATGTGAATATGATGTTTGTGATGTTACTCTTAGTCTATATCCACACCGGGCGGGCTTGAAAATATCACTTACTCGAACCGTCCTGACCGCGTAGCTCAGTTGGCAGAGCATTGAGCTAGTATTCCACAGGTTAATTGTAAGTTCGATTCCCACCGTGGCCGGGCATATTTTTCAAGCCCGGCCGGTGTGGATATACACTCAGAGTAACATCACAAACATCATATCCACACCTGAGTACACAACACCAGCACAGAAAAAAATCATATTACTAGATTACATTGGTATCGAAGGAACTAGATTCTGTTCCGAAATATCACTTACTCGAACCGTCCTGACCGCGTAGCTCAGTTGGCAGAGCATTGGGCTAGTATTCCACAGGACGTAGGTTCGATTCCCACCGCGGCCGGGCATATTTTTCAAGCCCGCCCGGTGTGGATATACACTCAGAGTAACATCACAAACATCATATTTGGAAAATCGTTTCATACACAACAAGCTTGAAGCAATTTTGTTTGAAGAAATAAGAAGAATTGATTTACTATGGGAAATCGTGAAATATACGGCAAGTTTGCTTTGAATATTTAATGTTTAGTATGTTTACGAATTTTGTTGCTTTAAACTTTTTGCCTAAAAACATGAACTGTTTTCCTTTTCAACAAAGCTCAAAGTTTCATAAATTACCTAGGCCGTTTACCGTGACCCGATATCGTTCACTTTCATTAAGCATGTCGTGGAACTGAAATATTTTCACGGTAACTAACATTTTCGAACTCGCCGAATTCAAATCCGAAAAGTTGCCGCTCCGTAGACCCGCAGTTTTT